GTTTGGCCACCCCTGCCCTATAGCCTTTGTTCTAAACCCACAGCACTTGGAGGGCGCCAGACAGTTCTGGGAGAAGGGAGGAGACGTTTCAAACGTGTTCGTGCTATCCTGCCTATGCGGCTTCTGCAACCCCTCCCTCCACCTAAAAAAAATAAGGCAGAATGCACACCTTGAAGCAAACATATATATTTGTTCATCAGTTTATACAAAGCTTCATGACTTTTAACAGTCTTTGGGAATTCGGTTAAGTGCAAAATTTAGGCCATCGTTAGTGTTCCTTTTGAACTGATGCCTTGTTCTGACGTGAGTCAAGCCAAGCTTGTCTTCAGAAGCTGCTGCGGCATCCTTATACCGTCAGATGAAGCAGAGAGGTCTGCCTTCGCTTCCCTGCTCCTTCTCCCAGATTTTGACCACGAACGGAGACTAAAAGGACATTATAGGTCCCCTCAGTGACCACTTCTGATTTTCGGTGAGGCGGCGGATAATTGTTGCACACCCCGGATGGAGGTCGCTTTCAAATAATGCTGCGCTGGCTCAGAGTTGCACCCAGGCTTTGGATGCAAGTGCTCAGCGGTCGGGCACCAGCACCTATCAGACTGAGACTGCTGGCAATTAAAACTGCTTAGGGCATGTGGGGGAAACAGTTGGTCTTCCTGAGCTTGTGTTAAATAGGGTTGAGGAAGCTTGGTTAACTAACAGCCAGTATGGACAGTGTATGTTTTCGCTGGAAGGATGCGGTCCTCTCAAGAGTGATTCTCATAGGTACCCAAGTAGAGACGTCATGTGTGGGTGGGATAACTAACACAGCTTACTCCTCTGTAGAGCTGTCTTTGCTCTGGAGTCCCATCTGGAGGCTGGAACCCACATCTAAATAGAGAAGCAAATTGTGTGTGCTCACCATCACGGGATCATTCTTTCACTGCTCTTTGACCAATTGCTTGAGCTTGCAAAGGGATTCCCTTGCCTGGGGTAGTTTTGTAAAGTTGTTCTGTAAGGTTCCTGAAGAGCTGCTTATGAACTGAGAGTCACATTAATTTTTGGTGTAGGTAGAGTAGAATGTTGCACTTGATCTAGAAGTCTGGGGGGGGGGGATTTCCCACTGTTTCCAGTAGAGGAGGGTAGCCTAGTGCCCATCACAGTATGCATGTTCATAGAATTATACTGTTGGAAGGGGCCTCCAGGGTCATCTAATCCAACCCACTGCACAATACAGGAAATTCACAAGTATCCCCCCCTCTACACCCCCAGTGACCACTGTTCCATGCCCAGAAGTTGACAAAAAACCTCCAGGATCTCCAGCCAAACTGGCCTGGAAAAAAATTGCTTCCTAAACCCAAAGTGGCGATCAGCATTTCCACGGGCGTGTAAGAAAGGGCCACAAGGAATGCTCCCTCTAAGCTGTGGAGTCTTGTGAGCAAAAATTCTGCTTTGTGAGCTACTGGCATTAAAACTGTGGGCGAGTGATTTGGCTGCTGCATAAATTAGTTTGCTCTGGAGCCATTCCTTCCTGAGCGAAGACAAAAATGTGTGAGCTGGAGGCTAAAAAACTGTGAGCTAGCTCATACTCACTCAGCTTAGAGGGAACACTGACCACAAGAACTAAGCACTCAGGCTAGCTTTCCTGCCCACCCCTCTCCTGATTTGCCTAAGTTCTCAGAATCCACATTGCTGTCAGATGGCCATCTGGCCTCTGTTTGAACACCTCCAAAGAAGGAGAGTCCACCACCTCCCGAGGAAGCTTGTTCCACCGGAGAACTGCTCTAACTGCCAGGACGTTCTTCCTAGTGTTTAGCCGATAACTCTTCTGATTTAATTTCAACCCGTTGGTTCTGGTCCGACCTTCTGGGGCAACAGAAAACAACTCCGCACCATCCTCTGTATGACAGCACTGCTGCTGTTGGAACAATGAGCTGGATGAGCATCACAAGGTTTTCCTGCCTTTTGCAAGGCTTTTCTGGTTAGGGATGCTTTCCAGGGAGGTGTGAGAAGGGGCTGTGGGGTGGCAGTGAGTGCCCATGGAGGGGGCAAGTGATTTATGCCAAGGCTGCTATCGGATGGCCATTCCAGATGGACAGCCGTATTACGTCTGTAGCAGCAACCTAAGCAGCCACCTTCTGTCCAGTGGCGCCTTAAAGTAAAGGTAAAGGTTCCCTTGCTCGAAAGCCAGTCGAGTCCGACTCTAGGGTTGCGGTGCTCATCTCCGTTTCCAAGCCGAAGAGCCAGCGCTGTCCGAAGACGTTTTCCGTGGTCATGTGGCCGGCATGACTAAACACCAAAGCGCACGGAACGCTGTTACCTTCCCACTGAAGTGGTACCTGTGCAAGTAGTCTGGTGCTCTCAGGTTTCCAACCCCCCTTACTTGTCCCCTTGGAGGCTCTGGGTAGTTTTAATTTCTTTTTCAATTATTCACCACCTTGGAATTGCTTTTTACTTTCGATTCTGTATTGTCAATGCTACTTTAACTTAGATTGTGTGTTTTTATTCTGTTGTAAACTGTCCTGAGCCCTGCTTGCAGGGAAGGGCAGCTTAAAAGTCTAAACAATGAATTTTATTTATTATTTAATTTGTATCCCGCCCTCCCCGCCAGGGCAAGCTCAGGGCGGCTTACAGGTTTTATATAAAACAAATGAGTTCTGACTCACCTTCTGTGAGTCAGAACTCACTTCATCAAATGTGGTGGTGGATGGCATTTGGTTGCATGTTAGAGATGTCACCGGCGAAGCCCTTGCAGCGGCTATAGCTCTTCTCCTACCACTTCCCTCCTGCCACCCTCAGCAAGGTTGCACTCTCTTAAGCATATTGATTTCAATGGACTTAAGTGTAACCAGCCCCGTAGCTTAGGATTTTTTTGGAGGGGGGGCCTTAGTCTGGCAGCGGGACAAGTAAACAAACCGGCCCCAGTTCCCCCAATGTGTTGCCCCTACATCCAGAGTCCGGGTCACGCTTCCTCTTCCTCCTTCTCTTCCTTCTTCTCAGCCTTCCCCCACTCAGTTTCTCAGGCTTAGTGGGGAGGATTCGGCTGCGTTCCCCCCCTCGGCTGCATTTCCCCCTCCTTGCCCCGTGGCTTCATCCTGCCAAGCCCAAGAGCTGCTTGCTTCCCAGCCCAGGGAGCTGTGGCTTCTACCCCCACCCCAAGCAGGAGCCTTTCACTTTATCTTCGGTTGGCACAGCAGCACTACCCCCCAGCTGCCCTGTGGAAGGGGGCCTCCTCGAAACTGCCTCCCCCACCTCCAAATGCTCCCTGATGCAGCCTTCGGGTCCGTGTTCAAGGACTCTCCTTTCCTGGCCTGTCTTAGCCAAGCCCACTGTCCAACTCACTGCAGGGCACTTGTCCCTTCTGTGGCATGAGGATCATCCCAAGCCGGGCTGGTCGAAGGAAGTGGCAAACACAAGCAAACATGCAGTGTCAAGCCCTGTGATTGTTGGCGGGCAAAGCACAACATGAAACCAAATGAGTCAGGCAAGGGAACAGCGACAGCTTAAGGGGGGAGGGCCCGGAATAAACGCTAGGGGGCTGGGCCCCGTGGGCCCCAAGTTAGCTACGGGCTTGAGTGTAACCAGGGCTCTTTTTTGTAGAAAAAGCCCAGCAGGAACTCATTAGCATAATAGGCCACACCCAACAGCAGGGACTCATTAGCATATTGGGCCAAGCATATTGATTTCAATGGACTTAAGTGTAACCAGCCCCGTAGCTAGGGATTTTTTTGGAGGGGGGCCCAATTGCTAATTTCATTAGTGGAGCTCCACAGAAGCTTGTCTTGTAGTCTGGCAGCGGGACAAGTAAACAAATCGGCCCCAGTTCCCCCAATGTGTTGCCCCTACATCCAGAGTCCGGGTCACGCTTCCTCTTCCTCCTTCTCTTCCTTCTTCTCAGCCTTCCCCCACTCAGTTTCTCAGGCTTAGTGGGGAGGATTCGGCTGCGTTCCCCCCCTCGGCTGCATTTCCCCCTCCTTGCCCCGTGGCTTCATCCTGCCAAGCCCAAGAGCTGCTTGCTTCCCAGCCCAGGGAGCTGTGGCTTCTACCCCCACCCCAAGCAGGAGCCTTTCACTTTATCTTCGGTTGGCACAGCAGCACTACCCCCCAGCTGCCCTGTGGAAGGGGGCCTCCTCGAAGCTGCCTCTCCCACCTCCAAATGCTCCCTGATGCAGCCTTCGGGTCCGTGTGCAAGGACTCTCCTTTCCTGGCCTGTCTTAGCCAAGCCCACTGTCCAACTCACTGCCCTGGCCCCGTGCGGGGCACTTGTCCCTTCTGTGGCGTAAGGATCATCCCAAGCCGGGCTGGTTGAAGGAAGCGGCAAACACAAGCAGACATGCAGTGGCAAGCCCTGTGATTGTTGGCGGGCAAAGCACAACATGGGCAAACCAAATGAGTCAGGCAAGGGAACAGCGACAGCTTAAGGGTTGAGGGCCCGCAATAAACGCTGTTCCTGTTTGTGCTTTATTATTATTATTATTATTATTATTATTATTATTATTATTATTATTATTATTATTATTATTATTATTATTATTATTATTATTATTATTATTATTATTATTATTATTATTATTATTATTATTTTACACAGACCTTTGAGCTCTCGAACTAATCCTGGAGAATGGTGTTCCAGAAGTCACCAGACGGTGGATGGGGCTGGGTTATAGTAGTCGTCTCCTTCTTCACCCAGTTCTTGTGCTATGGATCTCCGTTAGCCGTTGGAGTTCTGTATTTAGAATGGCTGGACATTTTTGGAGAAGGGAAAGGAACGACTGCGTGGGTTGGATCCCTTGCAAGTGGTGTCGGTTTACTTGCAAGTAAGTGTCTCTTTTTTTTTAAGCTTGTAATTTAAATTTTAGTGTTTGCTTATGAAGCATTTTTCAAACACCTGTGTGCTATAGAATTTCAGCATAACCGAATTAGGTGTGTTAAAAATGGGAAAGATCCCTTGCATATTTTAGAATAAAGATTATTATTTTTATTATTTTACACAGACCTTTGAGCTCTCGAACTAATCCTGGAGAATGGTGTTCCAGAAGTCACCAGACGGTGGATGGGGCTGGGTTATAGTAGTCGTCTCCTTCTTCACCCAGTTCTTGTGCTATGGATCTCCGTTAGCCGTTGGAGTTCTGTATTTAGAATGGCTGGACATTTTTGGAGAAGGGAAAGGAACGACTGCGTGGGTTGGATCCCTTGCAAGTGGTGTCGGTTTACTTGCAAGTAAGTGTCTCTTTTTTTTTAAGCTTGTAATTTAAATTTTAGTGTTTGCTTATGAAACATTTTTCAAATACCTGTGTGCTATAGAATTTCAGCATAACCGAATTAAATGTGTTAAAAATGGGAAAGATCCCTTGCATATTTTAGAATAAAGACACCAAAACACCTGTGTGGAAACGGCCTGTCCTGGTCAGCCTTGTCTTCCTTATAGTAGTGCTGTTTTCGGGGCGGGTGACTAAGGCACGGAAAGTGTAGGGGGAACTGCTGTGTGGGTGCTCTGTCACCACTGCAGATGCCTCTGCATCCTCAGCAGCGATGAGAGCTACACAGAGCATCATCTCCATACTACTTCCTGAATGTTTTGCTTAAGGAAGCAAGCACGAAACTGCTGCGTAAAAGTAAACTGCAGAGCAGCCGATAAGTGTACCCTAACTCTGTACACCCCCCGAGTCCCTTAGAAGAAGAGAATAAAAATGTCATTCATAAATGGATACATACGCTCAGGGCTCTTGTTGTAGCAGGAACTCCTTTGCACATTAGGTGACACACCCCCAGGGCTATTTTTGGGCAGGAACGCACAAGAACGGCGTTCCGGCTGGCTCCTGAGTTGGCCACACCCAGCAGGAACTCGTTAGCATAATAGGCCACACCCAACAGCAGGAACTCATTAGGATTGGCTACATTAGGGGTGTGTGGCCTAACATGCAAAGAAGTTCCTGCTACAAAAAAAGCCCAAGGTTTTGACAACAAAGTAAACAGAATAAGAAGCAAAAGGTGGGTGTGGTTGGATGACCACACTTCTGGTAACATGTGGGGTGTGGCCTAATATGCTAATGAGCTGTGCTGTCGGGGGTGTGGCCTAATGTGCTAATGGATCTCTGCTGTCGGGTGTGGCCTATTATGCTAATGAGTTCCTGCTGGGCTTTTTCTACAAAAAAAGCCCTGCACACCCCTAATGTAGCCAGTCCTCCAAGAGCTTACAGAGCTCTTCTTACAGGGGCTACTGTAAGCTCTTGGAGGATTGGCTACAGCAGGGGTGTGTCGCCTAATATGCAAAGGAGATCCTGCTACAAAAAGAGCCCTGCGATACGCTTAAAGCTGCAACTCTCGTGTGCAGTAGTAGGGGCCTTAGAGCTGGGTTAAGCATTACTGTGCGTGGACAAAGCCCTCACATGAGCCATGTGATGTCCAAAACGACAGCTCACGGAAGGTAGTTGCACCTGCTTTCATCGAGTCCCTCCTTCAGTTCTAAACTGGAACGTGAAGAAAGAAACGCAGTGATGTTAGCGTTATCTGCACCAGTTCTTGGGTCCAAATTGCACACGGCTCAGGAGATCCTCCAGGACCCCCCACCCCACCCCTTTAAAACTGTAAAGGCAGCTATGAGTATGGGAATGATGCCGTTGGTGAGTTGGAGTGGGGTGTGTATGAGCCTTCTTTCCTTTGTGCTACATTTCTCATTGCAAAGCGCCCCCTCAGGTGAGGATAGTTACAAACAGGGCTATTCTTGGGCAGGAACGCACAGGAACGGAGTTCCGGCTGGCTTCAGAGTTGGCCACTCCCACTACAGCCAAAACTTCTGCATTCGTGGCTACAGAGGGAAGGCCTGGAGAGCGACCCCCCTGGACAGGGGGACCCCTGGAAGGATCCGGGAGGCATTTAAATGCCTCCCCGTGCTTTCCCCGGCCTGTCCAAGGGCCGGCTTGCCTGGGCAAGCCAAGGGAAGGCATGGGGATATGGCCTAATATGATAATGATCTGTGCTGTCATGGGTGTGGCCTAATATGCGAATGGGTTTCTGCTGTTGGGTGTGGCCTATTATGCTAATGAGTTCCTGCTGGGCTTTTTCTACCAAAAAAGCCCTGGTTACAAGTATGTGTATCGTTTCCACCTTGCAGAATAAATACTGGGGAAGGGGGAAAGGAGGGATCTGCAGCAGGTAAACACCGT